TGGCAGCGGGCCTCAGGTGCCTGTCTAGGGGCGGGGTGGTCGCTGTGCCTAAGAGGAACTGCAGAGTGGGAGGGGGCAGGGGCGGGGCGGGGTGGTGGGTGATCGCAGCCTTCTAACCTCCCCTGAAAGTGGGGGCCTGGCTCTCTCCTTTTCCTCCTGGGTGGAGGGGTGTGGTGGGTGCGGAGCCTGATAGGTTAGCTCTGTGCACTCCCTGCTGGAGAGCCGCCCGATGCACCCAGTTCTGTGTCCACTCGCTGTTTCCTGGGTTCTCTGGAGGGTGCGAAAGAAAGCAGGCTTTGCAGGGCTGGGTTTTTCAGGCGGTGCTAGTGGCCCAGGGCTTTGGGGCTCTGAGCCGCCACCCCTGTCCTTCCCAGTCCGCACAGGCTCCTGTGTGTCCCTGCAGGTCCTCGCACAGCACTGTGCTGGTCGGGCACTTTTTCTGGTCTTGGAGTTTTTTTGCATTGTTTTTCTTTTCTTTCTTTCTTTCTGTCTCTCTCTCTCTTTTTGTGGTCACTTGCTGAGTTCTCACCACAGGCTCAGGTGGGGTTGAGGCGCAGTGACAAACCCGTGGGGCGCCTAGGGAGCTCATCAGCTGGGGGAAGCGGTCAGGTGGTAGGTGTGGCTGCAACCTGAAGGACAAGGAAACGGCTAGGAGAGGAGCAGGGCCTTACTCAGCCGGGGTCTGGGGATGGCTGCAGCTGCTCACCTTCAGCTAGCACACGGGAGGCATGACTGGGGGGAGCACCTGGGAGAGGTCTCAGAGGGGCGAGGCATCAGGTGGAGGTGGTGGCCCCGTGGGCCTCGAGTAGGCAGAGGCCCAGGGACACGGGACCCGTCCCGGGCTCTGTGCCCTCCGATGGCCTCTGCGATGTGGCCGTGCCTGCCCACAGCCATTCTTCCGGCTGCTGCACCCCTGCGCAAGCTGGGTGTGGTGTACAACGAGATCCAGCGGCTGCCCCCCGAGGTGGCCAACTTCATGCAGCTGGTGGAGCTCGACGTGTCCCGGAACGGTGGGAGCCTGGGCGCGGTGGGCGGGGTGGGGGTGGTGTAGAGATGGGGCCGTCAGCGTCTCCTGGGTGCTCCCTCACAGACATCCCCGAGATCCCTGAGAGCATCAGGTTCTGCAAAGCCCTGGAGATCGCCGACTTCAGCGGGAACCCCCTGTCCAGGTGGGCGGCAGCCGGGGCCGGGGTGTGCGGGGGCTGCAGCCCTGTCTGGAGGCTGAGGGCCTTGGCTGCCTCCCACCAGGCTCCCTGAAGGCTTCACGCAGCTGCGCAGCCTGGCTCACCTGGCCTTGAACGACGTGTCCCTGCAGGCGTTGCCTGGGGACGTGGGCAGGTATGTGCGGCCACCCACCAGGGGCGGGGGAGCCGCAGAGGCTTGGCATAGCCCTGGCTTGCCAGCCTCAGCCTGGGACCCTCGGTTGTATTTCAGCCTCGCCAACCTGGTGACTCTGGAGCTCAGGGAGAATTTGCTCAAGTCCCTGCCCGCGTGAGTGTGCTGGGCTGGGCAGGGCTGTGGCCGGGCAGGCCTGGGCTGGGGGCCACATGAGACCCTGGTTCTTCACAGGTCCTTGTCATTCCTGGTTAAGCTGGAGCAGCTGGATCTGGGAGGCAACGACCTGGAAGTGCTGGTGTGGAGGAGGGGCCCGAGGGGGGAGGGGGGCGCGCCTCAGAGTGGTGGTCACACTTGCCTGTCCTCCCTGTAGCCTGACACCCTGGGGGCTCTGCCGAGCCTGCGGGAGCTGTGGCTGGACCGAAACCAGATGTCTGCACTGCCCCCGGTGAGTGGAGGGGGTAGGGTCCCGCTCGGAGCCCACTGTGCTCTGACCCCGGCGTGCCCACAGGAGCTGGGCAACCTGCGACGCCTGGTGTGTCTGGACGTGTCGGAGAACCGACTGGAGGAGCTGCCTGTGGAGCTGGGCGGACTGGTACTGCTCACTGACCTGCTGCTGTCCCAGAACCTGCTGCAGCGGCTGCCCGACGGCATCGGTCAGTGGGCGAGTGGCGGGGTGGCCTGCCCGCTGCAGGTGCTGCACAGGGTCCCTGGCGGGGGTCTCTGCCCACCTCGAGCATGTCTGTGTGGGCAGGCCAGGCCGAGGGGCCAGGTGTGCCGCAGGACTGGAGCAGCTGACGAGGCGGGCAGATTCGGCTCCAGAGTCCTAAGGTGGCCCAGAGGCGGCCACAGCCACCCCGGGGCCCATCTGCACAGCACGACCACACCTGGCCCTCACACGGTTCTGGCCAGCTCCACTCAGCCCTTCACGGTGTCCCGGTGTAGGTCAGCTGAAGCAGCTGTCCATCCTGAAGGTGGACCAGAACCGGCTGTGTGAGGTGACCGAAGCCATCGGGGACTGTGAGAACCTCTCTGAGCTGATCCTCACGGAGAACCTGCTGACGGTGGGCCCGGCGGCGCGGCTGAGGCCTGGGAGGAGGCTCTGCCAAGTGGGGAAAGCACGGTCGGGGCAGTGCGAGGGGGAACCCCGGCTCCGGCCTGAGGGCAGGCAGTGTCACTCGTGTCGTGGCGTGTGGGCGTGGGCAGTAGTGTATATGGCGTGCTGTTGGGGAGGGACCGGAGAGCCGGTGAGTCCGGCCTAGAGGCAGAGCCACGTTCAGGGGTGCCTGCCCTGCACGGAGCAGACGCAGAGGCCGCGGGGCTGCGGCGGGGCAGCATTTGACGGACGTGTGCCTGCATGAGGTGCTCGTGTTGGCTGAGCCCAGAGGGGCACCCCAAGCAGGCCAGCAGGCCTGGGGCCCTCGGGGCCAGGTAGGGCTGGCACGGTGTGGACAGGTCAGGGTCTAGGGAACCTGTGGGAAAGGGCCAGGGACACCGCCGCCCACAGGGGGCATGAGGGCTGACCTTGTGGGAGGGAGCCCCACTGTACCCGCCCCCGCCTCCTGCCTTGGGGGTCCCATGACCCCAGCCTCTCCTCTCCGGGCCAGGCCCTGCCTCGCTCTCTGGGGAAGCTGACCAAGCTGACTAACCTGAACGTGGACCGGAACCACCTCGAGGTGCTGCCGCCCGAGATCGGGGGCTGTGTGGCCCTGAGCGTGCTGTCACTGAGGGACAACCGCCTGGCAGCCCTGCCCCCCGAGCTCGCGCACACGGCTGAACTCCACGTGCTGGACGTGGCGGGGAACCGGTGAGTGCCCCCCGCCCAGGGGCCCGGCACGGCCTGGCGCCCTCTGACTGCCCACTGCCCGCAGGCTGCAGAGTCTGCCGTTCGCGCTCACGCACCTCAACCTCAAGGCTCTGTGGCTAGCCGAGAACCAGGCACAGCCCATGCTGCGCTTCCAGACCGAGGACGACGCTCGCACTGGCGAGAAGGTGCTCACCTGCTACCTGCTGCCCCAGCAGCCCCTGCCCAGCCCTGGTAGGTCACTGTGGCCTCCTGGGGCGGCGTGGCCTTGGGCAGGACAGGCTGCCCCCTGATGCTGGCCTCCACAGAGGACCCCGAGCAGCAGGACAGCCCCGCGGAGAGTTGGAGTGATGCCCCTCTGAGCCGCGTCAGTGTCATCCAGTTCCTAGAAGCCCCCCTGGGTGACGAGGATGCCGAGGACGCTGCTGCCGAGAAGCGGGTATGGGGTTGGGGACCCCAGGTGACGCGCCTTGCCCCACTGGGCCCCGCCCAGCCTCTCACCCCCTCCCCACCGCAGGGCCTGCAGCGTCGAGCCACCCCTCACCCCAGTGAGCTCAAGGCGATGAAGAGGGGTATCGAGGAACGCCGGGGGGAGGCTCGCTCTTGCCAGCCAGGCCCTGGGCCGCCCTCACCTTGCGAGGAGGTAGGTGTGAGGGCCCAGCAAGGTGTCAGCCCCCTGGAGGACAGCCAAGTGGGCACGAGGAGGGCAGGGCAGCAGGGCAGCCGGGGTCAGTGTGCCACACCGCAGCGCTGGCCCTGCAGGTCTGGGCTCGGCTGTACAGGGCAAGCCTGGCTGTCCGGCTTGGGAGCATCTGCCATCAGGGTTGACAGAGGCTTCAGCGTAGGGCTGTAGGGCAGGGGCTGTCGGCAGGGTCCTGGGGGTCCTGGTCCTTGTGCTCTGTGTCTGGCGAAGTGGCCTCAGCTTAGGGTGGCACGGCTTCTCTAGGGAAGACGGAGAGTGAGGGCGAGTGCTGGGTACCATTGGGCAGCGGGCCCTCCCACAGCCTGACCCTCCACCCACTGCAGGGGAAGCGGCTGAGCGCCGAGTCCGGCCTGAGCGAAGACTCCCGCCCACCTCCCAGCACGGCCTCTGAGGGGGAGCCAGAGGACCCGTTGCCCGAGGTGCAGGAGCTGGCCCAGCCAGGATCCGTGGTGGGCGGGTCGGAGGAGGACGTGGAGGACTATGAGGAGGTGAGGTGGGCAGGGGAAGGCAGGTGGCCGCTCGCCCAGCAGTAGTGCCTGCAGCTCCCGAGCAGGTGCAAGACCGGGGCTGGCCTTGGGCTGGCTGGGCCGGCAGGCGCTGCTTACGAGGGGTGGGTGGGGACCCCGCACAGCTGCACTGGGGCCGCAGACCGATCCCCAGGCTCGGGCAGTGTGCCGCCCACATCCCCTCCTCTTGCTCTGACGGATGAGTCCTGGTGTCAGCCTGGTCCCGCCCGGGGCCTCACGTGGCTCTCCGAGAAGAGCCCCACCCCTGCCCACCTCTAGCTGTGCTGGAAGGTGCCTTCTCTGGGCAGTCGTGCCAGGACATCGTTCTTGGTGCAGCAGGGACCTGACTCCCCTGGGAGGGGGACGGCAGGACCCAGCCACCCGCACCCTCACTCCCAGGCTTCACAGCCTACAGTGCACTTCGCGGAGGACACGCCACTACCCAGGGAGGACGACGGGAGCGAGGAGGGGCAGCGGGAGGGGCCCTGGCCCTGGCTGGGCGGCAGACAGCGTCTCACCCGCAAAGACACGCCCCACTACAAGAAGCACTTCAAGGTCTCGAAGCTCCCACAGCCGGAGGCTGTCGTGGCCCTGCTGCAAGGGATGCCGCCAGACCAGGGCTCTGCGGGGCCTGGGGGCTGGCACAACGGCCCTCACACGCCCTGGGCACCTCGGGCACCGGCAGAGGAGGAGGAAGCAGCAGGCAGGGCAGAGGAGGAGGGCGAGGCTACCCCTGAGGAGGAGGACGAAGAGGACGAGGCAGAGGACAAGGAAGCGGCCGCGGCTGCCCCGCCTTCTGTCAAGGTGGGTCTCCGCAGCACCTCTGCCGACCCTGGCACTCCTTCCTGACTCCCATGCTGGGCCAGGCCCTGGTCTCCTGGCAGCCGGAGAGGCCAGGTCTGCCCGTGCCGGACACCGGCGTAACCCTGCTCGCCTTGTTCCTTGGGCCTGCCCTGGCGGTGCTTGGGCCTGTTCTGGGCCAGGGTCACTTGACTTGCTGGCTGGCAAGGGGTGCTCGCAGGAGCCACGGCGTGCACCCTGCCCCTGTGTGTGGTGGCCCCGGGTAGGCCTGCTCACCCTCAGGGCTGCCGGCCCTCGCAGCACCCTCCTCGTGCTCGGTGCTGGCCGCGGCTCTCCCAGGAGCCTGACTCAGCCTCCTCCGGCCCCCGAGGTTCTCCTGTGGGGCTGG